AGACAGCAAAATAGATTTTAGTTTGTCAAAACAATTAAGAATTCAAGTTTATAGGATGAGGTCTGTCTCCCCTCCCACCCCCCCCCTCCCAGGAACTCTGTTGATTTGTGATTTGGCTTTGAATCTGACCTGTGGCCTGCATGTCACGATAATTTGGGTCACTTTGAATATCCCATCCCTTGAACAAGAGCCTCTGCAAATGTTAAATGAAAGCAGCTGCCCTGTGCCATCGCTCTATTTGCATCACAATGCGAGGGACTAAATCCACAATTAATAAACCATTTCCAGTTAGCAGTGACAATGAGGAAATGAAGGACATTCATGCAGAAGCTGTAAAAAGCAGTGTTTCGTTTGTGCCCCTTTGAACATAGAAGAAATAGTTCATGTCTTGTTCTCTTGCTATTTCCCAGACTGGGTCTCACTATGCAGCCCTGGCAGGCCTAGATCTTGCTGTGTTGACTAGGCAGGAGGATGGCCTGTGATCCTCCTGTCTCTGTTTCCTGAGGGCTATGATTATGAGAAAGTGCCACTACACCTGGCCTCCTCATTCCTGACAAATTTAGTAGAAGCTAAGCATCCAAAAAAAAAAAAAAAAAGTCATGTTTGCCTGGTTTGGTGTGTGCCTCCTAGGCAGGTAGATCAGAAGCTTATCATTAGATACTTAGGATTTGCAAGGTCATAGTGGACTACCTGAGAATGTTAAACAAACAAACACACACACACAAATAAATGCATAAATAAGAAAATCACTTAAAGCTAGGTGGTGGGTAGCCGGGCGTTGGTGGCACACGCCTTTAATCCCAGCACTCGGGAGGCAGAGGCAGGCGGATCTCCGTGAGTTCGAGGCCAGCCTGGTCTACAGAGCGAGTTCCAGGACAGCCTCCAAAGCCACAGAGAAACCCTGTCTCGGGAAAAAAAAAAAAAAAAAAAAAAAGCTAGGTGGTGGTGGTGAACACCTTAATCGAAGTACTGGGTAGGCAGAGACAGGTGGATCGCTGTTTAAGGCCATCCTGGTCTACAGAGTGAGTTCCAGGACAGCCAAGGCTACACACAGCAATCCTGTCTTGAAAAGCAAAATTAAAAAAAAAAAAAAAAGGAAGGAAGGAAGGAAGGAAGGAAGGAAGGAAGGAAGGAAGGAAGGGAGAAAACCACTTAGGAGCCATGAATGGTGGCACACACCTTTAATTCCTGCACTTCAGAGGCATGTGGATGTCTGTGAGCTAGAGGCAGCCTGGTCTATAGAGCTAGGCCTGTCACATAGAGAAACCCTGTCTTGCCTCCCTCCCCCCCCCAAAAAAAAGAAAGAGACAGAAAGAAGGAAGAAAAAGGAAGGAAGGAAGGAAAGAAGGAAACCACTTTGTACACAGAGAAACCCTGTCTTGCCCCCCCAAAAAAAAGAAAGAGAAAGAGAAAGAAAGATGGAAGGAAGAAAAAGGAAGGAAGGGAGGAAGGGAGGGAGGGAGGAAGGAAACCACTTAGGGGCTGGAGAGATAGCTCACAGGTTAATAGTATAGGCTGCTCTTCCAGAGGACTCAGGTTTAATTCCTGGCACCCACATGGTGACTCACTTTTGTTTGTAAGTCTAGTTCTGGGAGATCTGGCACCCTTACATAGACATATATATACGCAGTCAGAACAGTGCACTAAAAACTTGTTTGTTGTACAAACAGAATCATTTAGCCTCAAATTAGATTATAGTTTAAAGAAAAAGGATGGCTGGATTGGAGGTGGTCAGTTGGGAGAGTGCTTAGCTTGTAGGACTCCCTGAGTTTGATACCCAGTATTGCATAAACCTGCATAAAGCATGCCTTTAATCCCACTATTGGGGAGGTATAGGCTGAAAGATCAAAGGATCGAGGTCATTTTAGGTTGCACAGTGGGTATGAACCACTATACCTGTCACTTCCTTTTTTGAGACTGGGTCTCATGTGCTCTAAACTGGCCTCAAACTAGCTATGTGGCTGAAAATGACCTTGGACTTCCAAGTGTCTGGATTACTGGCCCAAGTCATCAATCAGGCTTCTTTTTGCCAGTTCAAAGAAAAGGAGTTATTGTTTTTGTTGTTTTCGCTTTATTTATTTATTTATTGAGATGGGGTTTCTCTGTGGGTTTGGAGGCTGTCCTGGAACTAGCTCTTGTAGACCAGGCTGGTCTGGAACTCACAGAGATCTGCCTACCTCTGCCTCCTGAGTGCTGGGATCAAAGAAGTGCGCCATCACCGACCAGCTATTTATTTATTTATTATTGTTTTTTTCAAGACAGGGTTTCTCTGTGTAGCTTTAGAGTCTGCCCTGGAACTAGTTCTGTAGACCAGGTTGGCCTCAAACTCATAGATATCTGCCTGCCTCTGCTTCCCAAGCGCTGGGATTAAAAGTGTGTGCCACAACCGCATGGCTAATTTATTTTTTCTTACTCAGTTTTATTCAATTGCGTTCTTTCCAAGTGTATAGTGTTTGCATTGAAAAGAGTTTGTTGTACAGTGGCCTACACCTGTAAGACCGACACACCAGCAGCAGAAAAACCACAATTTGGATGCTACACAAGGGAGACTGTCTCGGAAAGCAACAACAACAACAACAAGTCACTGAAATCTCTGGCGGTCAAGTTTCCTAAGGCCTTGATTCTACTTTACATCCAACGTTGTAACATATTGTCTGGTTCTTAGGAAAAATGGGTTCTATAAGAAGTGTGCTAGAAAGTGAAGTCAAGGAAATTCTGTCAAAGAGAAACATGAAGTTCTCTTGTTGCTTGCTCCTGTAAGAAGTTTCTAGATCACCTAGGGTCCATCTACAGCCCTGTAGCACCCACTTGCGCTCAGTCTGTTGCAATACTAACCACAGTTTCACACATAGGTAATGCTGGCCTTGAATAATGTCTCTAAGATTTTAAACTTCAGTTGGCAGTTCACTGCCTACAAATTAAAGGACAGATTCCGAGGCCCACATTTTACGAAGACATTAAAGGCAGGCGAAGGAGGTGTTTCAGGTGAAAAGGGACAGGGCGTGAGACTGCTTGTCCCATTATAAGATGTCAGGCATTAAGCGTGATTTGGCTTTGTCTCTCAATTCCCACAAAGACTGAGTTTCCCCTGGTTAGAGTTTGAAAGCATTTTACCTCATGAAGCTTACAATGACGATTAGCTAAGGATCTACGGGTGGAGGAGTAAAAGGCTTGTTTCTTTGGTGGAGACAGGTCTCACTATGTAGCTCTTGCTGGCCTGGTATTTGCTATGTAGGAGCACAGCAAGGTTTCGACTCTCGACAATCCTCCGGCCTCTGTCTACAGGATTCTGAGACAAATTACAGATAGGAGCAATCCCCCCAATTTACCAAGTGACAGTGGATGTCCTTGATCTCCTGGTGCTTAAGTCTTTCAATTAAGATTACAGCAATGTGTAGCCATAACCCAATTTTCCGATTTTTTAAAAAGTTTATATATTTTATTTTTTAGTTTTTTTGAGACAGGGTTTCTCTGTGGCTTTGGAGGCTGTCCTCAAACTCGCTCTGTAGACCAGGCTGGCCTTGAACTCACAGAGATCCTCCTGCCTCTGCCTCCTGAGTGCTGGGATTAAAGGCGTGCGCCACCAACGCCCAGCTCCGCTCGGCTTTTTTAAAGTTTATTTGGATTGCCGTTCTTAAGTAGCCCAGGTTGATTTTGAACTCAGGCCTTGATCCTCCAGTCTCAACAGCATCCTGAGTGCTGGGATTACCGGCAAGAGCCCACACGCCGGGCCGGATCGGTATTTTCCAGGGCTTTAGACTTGAGAGGCCACTGACAATACCTCTCAAGAGGGCGGTCAATGCCTGCACATTTTCTTGAACAACCCCTATTCTCGTGCACGCTCCGCTAAGGCTGGGGGTAACTTTTGCTATTTGTTTATAAAAGAAAGAAACCAAGGGAGCAGGTTCCGCCCCTTTAATGAGTCTAGGGCGGGAGGGGGCCCCGGGCGGGAGGGGGGCCCCGGGGAGGATTAGGTGAAGTTCCCTCCAGGCGCGCCCCCAGCCAGCCCGGGAGTCCGCACCAAGCCCCTGGGCCGAGGGGCGGGGCGCGCCTAGCGGCCACGCGCGCGGGCGGAGAGGGGGGCGTGTCCGCGGGCGCGCGCGGACGGCGAGGGGGCGTGTCCGGCGGGCGGGCGGGCGGGCGGCGGCGCGGACCGGGTGCGCGGCGCAGCGTCCTGTGCTGGAATGTGCGGCTCCCGCGAGCTCGCGGCGCAGCAGCAGACCGAGCGCCGCCGAGGCCGCGGGCCCCAGACCCGGGCGGCGGGGACCGCAGCGACAGCAGGGCGAGGGCCGGCGGTCTGATTCAGCTCCGCGATCGCATTCGGGGTCTTGCGGGCCTCGGCGCCCAACTTTTCTCCGCTCTTCCTCCCCTCCCCCGAAAGTCCAGCAACAAAGAAAAGGAGTTGGAGAGGCGGCGGCGGCGGCGGCGGGGACGCGGGGGCGGCGGTCCGTGGGCGCGCAGGCCAGCGGGTAGGACGACGCGGACTTGGGAGGGCGGCGGGGGAGGGCGGCGGGCAGGCGCGGAGCGGCGCGAGGCGCTGTCCAGGGCTGATCTGCAGATACTGTGGCTCGGTCGAGCGGCGGGCGGGCGGGCGGGGGCGGGATCGGGTTACGGAGCGAGTCACGGGCTGGGCCGGGGGGCTGGTGCGGAGCGCCGGGGGCACCGGTCCCCAGTAGAGTTCGGGGCGGCCCCCTCGGCACGGCGCTGGGAGTCGGGGCGACGGAGGCCGGAGCGCCGCTGCTGGTGGCCGCGGTCCTGAAACTTCCCCTTCGCCCTCCCCTTCGCCCGGGGCCCACCGCTCCCGGCCTCGCCGCCGTCCCAGGCCCGCCGCCCCCTCCCCCAGCCCGGGCCCGGGCCGGAAGGCGGCCGCCCCGCTTGACTCAGCCCGGGGCACGGGCGGCGCCGCCGGCGGGCTGGACAGCGATTTCTGCGGCCCGCGCTGGCTCTGCGCGGTGGGGGAGCGAAGTTCGCAAACTTCCGGGCGCGGGGGCGGCGGCGGCCCGCGTGGGGCCCCTCGGAGAGACCGGGGACCGGCAGCCTCGGGAGGGCGCCGCCGAGCCCCGGCCCAGGCCCGAGCCGGACGCCGGCGGCGAGGTAACTTTCCGCCCGGGTCCTGGGTTAGCGCGGACGGCGGGGGAGGGGGCCGCGGTCGGCGGAGAGAGGCGCCTCTAGGATGGTGGGCAGCGCTCGAGGGCGAGAGCCGAGGCACCGCCCGCGGCTTGGTGGCGGAGAGGAAGCAAGAGGGCCCAAGTTTGCAAAGAGCTGCTTTGTGTTTGGTATTTTGAGAAAATGGCCGAATGCCTATTTCAGTTAGGAATGCCGCCGCCGCCGAGGCCGGCGCTGGTGGCAGCAGCACATAGGAATTCCGTGCAACACGTTGCTGCTCTCGGGCTGTGCTAGCGCAGCCTTCCCGAGAAACGTGGAGATTGCTTTGGAGTGTGGTGGCTGAGGTTCGCGGGGAGCTTTAAAAGTGCATGTGGGGGCTCAAGCTGGGGGAATCCGTGGGGCTGTTAAACCAGGGAGAGAGCCGTGGCCCGCTGTTTCCTGTGATGGCATTCGAGTCCAACTTTTTGTTGGGGCATGTAACTGAGCGAGCTTGTGTTCAGACGCTTGGTGAAACGGACTGCTTTTTGTATTTTCGGTTTAAGTTTGTCTTTTGGTACTTTCTGCATGTCTTGCCTTTACTGATTTGGAGGAGGGACACTGAGTTCGAGACTAGCACCTTTGAGGTTGGAGGTTGAGACCATTTAAAAACTCAACTTGTTTTCAAGAAGGTGATCTGTAATGGCTTCCTCTAGGCAAGTAGGCCAAGTCAAGCACAATGCGCCAAAGTTGCTGGTTGACGTGTTGAGTTGCACGGCTGTTAGGGAGTTTCAAACAAGAAAAAAAAAACACTTTAAAACTTCCCCTTTTGTGGGAAAAGGGATCTATAATCAACCCTTTAAGTTAAGAGTCATCAAAAAAGTTGAAAGTCTGTTAACTTTTTCAGTTTATTCTTTTACAGTTGAATTCTCAGGAAGAAATTAAATTACAGACTTCCAGATTTTTTTGGTGTGTTCCTTATATGCGTAGAGTTGCTTGTGGATTTTGGGGGTTCTCATTCAGACCTGAAGTGTTGAAAAGGGAGAATAGAGAGAACAATAGAGTGTTATTAGTGCTTTTGAATTAAAAGTAATTTTAGTTAACATTGAAAATGTTAACCGCCAGAAAAAGGTTGACACACTTGCATGCCAGTGGTAGACCTAATGGATGAAAGAGTAGATTTTTTTTCCTGGGTGTAGGGGAAATAGTTATTCATTTGTGTGCTTTTGTGACTGCAATAAAGATAATTGAAAATTAACAGCAGTGCTGCCCCAACCTCCCTAGCTAGGATTACAGGCAGGCACCACCATACCCAGCAAGAAAACCATTTTAAGTTTGTTAGAAGTTAATGAAGCTCATTGAGTTTTAAAGGTTGGAAAAATGCTTGCTTTAGGGCTGGATTTACATGGTGTTTTGTTGTTGTTATATTTTATTCAGTGTGCAGTTATGGCCACCCAGGTGATGGGGCAGTCTTCTGGAGGAGGAAGTCTGTTCAATAGTGGCAACATGGGCATGGCCTTACCCGGCGACATGTATGACTTACACGACCTCTCCAAAGCTGAACTGGCTGCACCCCAGCTCATCATGTTAGCAAATGTGGCCTTGACTGGGGAAGTCAATGGCAGCTGCTGTGATTACCTGGTGGGTGAAGAAAGACAGATGGCAGAATTGATGCCCGTTCGGGACAACAACTTTTCAGATAGCGAAGGGGAAGGACTTGAAGAGTCTGCCGAACTAAAAGGTGACCCCAGTGGGCTGGTAAACATGGAACTGACAAGTTTGGAGCTAAATGCTGCCGAACCACAGCCTGTGTTCGAAACATCAGCTGCACCAGAAATGCACAACTCCAATAAGGATGTCCCTCCAGAAACGGTGGGGACAGAGGACAAGTGCAAGAATCTGAAGGCCAAGCCCTTCCGCTGTAAGCCCTGCCAGTATGAAGCCCAGTCTGAAGAGCAGTTCGTGCACCACATCCGGGTTCACAGCGCGAAGAAGTTTTTTGTGGAAGAGAGTGCAGAGAAACAGGCTAAAGCCAGGGAATCTGGCTCCTCCACGGCAGAGGAGGGGGACTTCTCCAAGGGCCCCATCCGCTGTGACCGCTGTGGCTACAATACCAACCGCTATGATCACTACACGGCTCACCTAAAGCATCACACCAGGGCCGGGGATAATGAGCGCGTCTACAAGTGTATCATCTGCACGTACACAACCGTAAGCGAGTATCACTGGAGGAAACACCTGAGAAACCATTTCCCCAGAAAAGTCTACACGTGTAGCAAGTGCAACTATTTTTCAGACAGAAAAAATAATTATGTCCAACATGTGCGAACTCATACAGGTAAGAGAAGCTAAATTTATATTTCCCAAAATGTGATTTCTTTTAAGCTCATAGATTATGTACACTGAACGAGCTCTTAAGATACACTATAGTCTTCCAGAAGAATTGAGGATTTAGGTAGACCAAAAAGCCTATTAATTAACCTTGAATAGCTTGTTGAAACAAACTTTCTTTTTTTTTTTCTTCTTTGAGACAGGGTTTCTCTGTATTGTTGTCCTGGAACTCCCTCTGTAGACCAGGCTGGCCTTGAACTCACAGAGATCCACCTGCCTCTGCCTCCCGAGTGCTGGGATTAAAGGTGGGGGGGGTCTTTTTGAAACAGACTATAGTTCTGGATATGGTCGTGGTTCTCTGCCTCCACATTGCTAGGATTAAAGGCGTTCACCACTACATCCAGTGCCACCCTTTCCATGTGAAACAGGATCTGCAGTAGTCCATACAGCCTTGAACTCTGTAGCCGAGGATATTTCTGATGTTCCCACCTTCAAGCAGTTGGATTACAGACCTGTGTCACTATGGTTGGTTTATGCAGTGGGGGATGGAACACAGGGACTTATGCATGCCAGGCAAGCATTCTCTCTACAGAGCCATATGTCGCTTCTTCCTTTTCTTGCTTTAGTTACTTTATGTGTATGAGTATTATGTATGTAAGGGCACCACTTACCTGCAGTACCTTTGGAGGCCAGAAGAGGGCATTGGATTTCCTGGAACAGGAGTGAAAGAGCGTTGTGTAGAAAACTGAACCTTGGGTCTTCTTCAAGAGCAGCCAGTGAGTGCTCTTTACCGTTGAGCCACTGTCTTGACAAGAGTAGAATCACTGCATATTGAAGCCAATTTCCTGACAGCAAGCAGACCTCTCAGACGGAACAGCATTTGTTCAACATACCCCGATGCCCACACTTTCTGGGGACCTTCTGGCCCAGAAGTCCGAACTTGTGAGAGGTTAGGAGTATAGCTCTGCAGTAAAACACGTTAGAAGGCTTCATGTTCTGTCACCAGCATCAAAAAGAAAAGTTTTAGGGGCTGGAGAAGATGGCTCAGAGGTTAGAGTACTGACTGTTCTTCCAGAGGTCCTGAGTTCAATTCCCGGCAACCACATAGTGGCTCACAACCACCTTGAATGAGATCTGGTGCCCTCTGCTGGCATGCTGGCAGAAGACCATATACACAATAAATAAATAAAATTAAAAAAAAGTTTTAAAGGGGCTCAGAGATTAAGATGGATGCTATTTAGCGGTTAAGAGCACTAGCTGTTCTTCAGAGGACCCAGGTTCAATTCCCAGGACCCACATGACAGCTCACGACTGTCTGTAACTCCAGTTCCAGTGGATCTGACTCTCTCACACAGACATACATACTGGCAAAACACCAATGCATATTAAAAAATCATTAAAAGTGAAAAGCAGAGAAAAAAGTGTAACAAACCTGCCACATCTCATTGAGAGAGGTCCAGGGCTTGCCTTGTAGCAGTTGTGGCTGTGAAGTGATCAGAGTTCTGGCCTCAGTCTCCCTGAGACCTTTTATATATACATATATATTTTTGTTGTTGTTGTTTTTTTCGAGACAGGGTTTCTCTGTGGCTTTGGAGGCTGTCCTGGAACTCGCTTGGTAGTCCAGGCTGGTCTCGAACTCACAGAGATCCACCTGCCTCTGCCTCCCGAGTGCTGGGATTAAAGGCGTGCGCCACCAACGCCCGGCTTCCCTGAAACCTTTTAAAACTGTAAAATATTGCTGTAGAGATGGCTTTGTGGTCAAGACTACTTGCTACTCTTCCAGAGGACCTGAATTTAGCTTTCAGTGTCAATGTTGGTGGCTTCAAAACTGTAATTCTAGCTCCAGGACATTCCACACCCTCCTGGCCTGCATCTACACACATGGAAATAAAAATAAAATCAGTTTTTAAAAATTATTTATTATGCATACAGTTTTTTTTATCTGTGTACATGCTGTACCCCAGGAAAAGGCATCAGACCTCATTATAGATGGTTGTGAGCCACCATGTGGTTGAGAAGGCCTCAGTGACTGAGCCTGCTTCGTTTTTTTTTTTTTTTTGTTTTTTTTTTTTTTGTTTTTGAGATCAGTCTCTGAAGCCCAGGCTAGCTCTGGGTTCCTGGCAGTTCTCCAGACTACTTGGGGATTATAGATTATAGGGGTGAGGTACTAGTGGTGTCTCTTTCAAACTTAACCTCTTTGGGGATATAATTTGTTATTATACCATTTGATTTGTTCTAAGTGTGTAGTATTTAGTCTGTTTAGAGTGATGCTGTCATTACTACAGTACCTCTAAGACAGTCCAGGGAAGAAATTGTAGCTGGTATGGTGGAACACTCCTTTAATGTCAGCATTTGGAAGACAGAGGCAGGAGGAGCTCTCCTTCAGGGCCAGTCTGGTTCACATGGTGAATTCTATGAATTTCCAATTCTACTGGGTTTGTGATAAAGAATGCACAAGGCCCAGGGTTTGACTCTAATGCCCCCTCCCAAATAAAAACAATGAAAAATCTAAGCCCAGACAAAAAAGGCAGAAAATGCCTAGCTCATACGTGAGCTACTACGACACTGGGAGAGATCAGGAGCTGAAGGTCATTTGATGCTGTTAGGGGAAGCCCCAGGGTACTCAAGCCTCTTCTCAAAAACTTATCAGTATGGCAGTGTCTTCCTGTTTTCCCTAGTTATCTGCTTCATTGTGGTGGTAGGGAGTGGACCAGAGTCAGCTGGGAAAAGCTTATCCTAGAGGTAGCAATTTTATGTATAACCTTGGCTGGCCCAACTCCCCAGGTGTCTCAGGCTGTCCCCAAACTCCAAGCCATCCTTTTGGATCCTGAGTGCATAGATTACAGGCCTGTGCCATCATGCTCAGACTTGCTTTGTGAGAAACAGGTTGTAAGTAGTGGCTGGGCCTGCCTTGTTCTGGCAGCCCTGCTTCAGGTCTACAAGTCCAGGATGAAAGGTGTAAGCCACAACACTCTGGCCAGCCTTGAACTCACTGTCCTGCCTCAGCCTTCTGGTGATCAAGACAAGCAGATGTACACACTGATGGGATGGATATAGTAGTTTTACGTGAATTACATCTTGGCTGAACTTTTGATAGTGTCGAGCATAGAGCACCTTGAGTAGTTTTCAGAGCTGATTAATTTTTACAAGAAACAACCAACACTGAGAATGTTACTTTGCATTTGTATACTTAGGGCAAAATGGCAGGAGTGTGCTGTGAGGATTGTTGGTCCCTGAAAATTCTTTTTATGTATGTATGTATTTATTTATTTATTTTTGAAGCTCAAGTCTGTGGCTGTGCATGTGATGTGCAGACCTTGAGTCCTTGCTAGTTCCAGGACAGCTGGGACTACACACAGAAACCCTGTCTGGGAGGGGGATGGATGGGAGTTGGGGCAACTGGAGACAAAACAAAACCAAGTCTGCAGTTCTTTTTATTTTATTTTATTGGTGTTTTGCCTGCATGTGTCTGTGTGAGGGTGCTGATCCTAGAATTTCAGGCAGTTGTGAGCTGCCATGTGGGTGCTAGGAATTGAACCCAGGTCCTCTTAACCTCTGAGCCGTCTCTAGCCCCATCTAGTCTGTAATTCTCTAAGAGTAAACATTCTTATCCAATCCAAGATACACTAATTTGATCCGTACATGCAATCAGAAAATACTAAAAGGTTGTGGGTTCCGTAGTGCGACTAGAAACTTTAGGTACAGTAGTGAAAACACTGTTCTTATGAGTGTTTGCCCTGTGAGCCAGGGTGTTTGAGGCAGGTTTACTGAATGCTGCACACACACAGACAGCAGTGTGCTTTGTGCTTTGAGAACTGGCACTGCCAGAGATAAGTCAGATTGCATGTCATTATTACGTAGTTGTGACTGTCCTGTAGCTATTTAAATCAGGTTGGTCTGGAAGTCAGAGGTTTACCTGCCACTGTCTTCCGGTGCTGTCATCAAAGGCTTGTGCCACTAAAGCTTGGTTTGAAGCCAGTCTGTTTTTATGTTTTTTGTTTTGTTGTTGTTGTTGCTGTTTTGAGACAGGATTTTCTTTGTGTAGCCCTAGCTGTTTTGAAATTCTATTAACTGGCCTGAAACTCAGATCTACCTGTCTCTGCCTCCCTAGAGTTGTGATTAAAAGGCCTGTGCTGCCAGGCAGTGGTGGCACACACCTTTAATCCCAGCACTCTGGAGGCAGAGGCGGGTGGATCTCTGAGTTCAAGGACAGCCTGGTCTACAGATCGAGTTTCAGGACAGCCTCCAAAGCTACAGAGAAACCCTGTCTCAACCCCCCCCCCCCAAAAAAAAATATGCCTATGCTATCATGTCCAGCTGGAGCCAACCTGGCCTTAACATACTAAGTGCCTGAGACCAGCCAGGCCTAAATGTTAAGACCTTGTCGGAAAACAATCAGTTTGGTTACTCCTAGCACTTAGTGACAGGCAGGTAGAAAGCTGTGAGTTTGATGCCATATATATTATATTGTTGCCAGTTAATTTAAAACAATTTATGAAGGGAGAGCTGCTTAGATCTTAGCCCATGATGAGGTAGGTAGATGGTGTGTGTGTGTGTATGTGTGTGTGTGTGTGTGTGAGAGTGTGTACATACATATAATATTAATGTAATTACATATATTAAACTAATTCTAGGTTAGCCATGGCTGCATAGTGAGACATGGTCTGAAACAAAAATGGTTTACAGAGCTGGGCGGTAGTGGTATCTGCCTTCCTCTGCCTCCCAAGTGTGAGATTAAAGTGTGCACCACCATTGCCCAGTCAGGATAACATCTTTTTTGTTTGTTTGTTTTTGTTTTTCCAGGTAGGGTTTCTCTTTGTAGCTTTGGAGCCTGTCCTGGAACTAGCTCTTGCTGGTCTTGAATTTATAATCCCAGCTCGTGGGATTTTAGGAGGAGGATGAGTTCAGGGCTATCCGTGCTAGCTTCGACTACATAAGACCCCACAGCAATTTAAAAATACAATAAAAGTATCCTGTCAGAAGCTTGTCTGGGCGGCATAGGTCTGTGACACCAGATAGTTGGGAGACTGAGACAGTATGGTCACAAGCTCCCACTTTAGACTGTGTCTCAAAGTAAAGAATGGAAAAAGGCTGCCAGAGACAAACCTGCACTCGTGGGAGGATTGAGTGTTTGGCTAGCCTGGACTACCTAGGAGAGCCTGTCAAAATCCAAAATAAACAAAACTTGACAGATCAGCCCCCAAAAACCTGAAATACCCAAAATGTGTGGGAGGGAATAGTTACACTGCTGAGAATTGTTCTTGGTTTATTGTTACGTCTTGAACACTGTCATTGTAATTTTGCAGGAGAACGCCCTTATAAATGTGAACTTTGTCCTTACTCGAGTTCTCAGAAGACTCACCTAACTCGACACATGCGCACTCACTCAGGTTGGTAAGAGATGGTAACTCCATCCTTCAGTAAATACTATTTTTTTCACTGTTGTCACTCTTTATAAAGACTGTGTCTTAGAACTGAAACTGAGCTGTTTATAACATGGTTTTGGAACTCTTTAAAAATTTTTTTTTCCTTAGATGTGATCTTATTATTGCTGGCCTAGAACTCGCAGAGATCCACCTGCCTCTGCCTCAGAAGTGTTAGGATTAAAAGTGAGTATCACCATGCCAGGCAGATCTGCCTTGAGAATGCAAAACTAAAATGGGAGTAGTTACCCAAGTATGGGTTCTCATAGATGAGATTCCAGAAACTGAGTGAATGTGAATTTGTTAGCAGATTCTTCTGGGGGGAGTTTCCTTTTTCTCTCTGAAGTTTTATTAATAGTATGAGTATTTCGCCTGGAAGTGCACTATGTGGGTGCAGTTCCTGTGCAGGCCAAAAGAGGGTGTCATCCCCATGTAACTGGTATTGTAGATGGTTAGGAGCTAGCACATATGGGTGCTGGGAACTAAACTTGGGTTCTCTCCAAGGGCAGAAATTGTTCTTAACTGCTGAGCCATCTCTCCAGCCAAAGACAAGGGCTCTTAGAATTTGTTAGAACTCAAATGAGTTCTAATATTCCATAAAAATTATTCACAGATCACAGGTGAGTTTATCCCCCCCCCTTTTTTTTAAATTGTGTGATAGAACGATTATCTGGTCTACATGGCAGGTTCCAGAACAACTAGGGTTCCATAGCAACACCCTGTCTCAAAAGAACCAAAGTATTATAGAGCTGGGCATGGGCACATTCTGTCATCTGCCCTGAGGCAGGTTAACCCCAGTCACAAGCAATCAGTTTTGATGTAACCCTACTTACATAATATATATGATCATGCTTTTCTCTCGCCTGCCTCCCAGATCATCTCTACATCCCTGCCTGCTCATCTGATTTAACCTATTTTTGTTATCACTTTTATTAGTGTGTATGTTGCTTGTATGTGGATGCATACAGAGGCTAAGAGTGGGTGCTGAATCCCTTGGAGCTGGAGTCTACAGGTGTTCATGAGCTGCCTAACCTGATTTGGGTGCTAGGATCTGAACTCTGATAGAGCCTTCAGCCCACATTTTACCTGTGTTTTGCCTTGGTAATATGACTTAGAAAGCTTGTATAAACTTGGTTGTATTATGGATTCTGACTCAATTTGGCTCTTGTGTGTTTAAAGTGCTGGACTCTGCTAAGCTTTAGCTTAACCACTGAGCTCACTACCAGGCTCTCAGTGTCTTGTCAGGCTTCCTACTTGGCTGTCCTGGAGCTCCCTCACTGTGCTCATGTGGATTAGGCTAGCCTAGGGGACTAGCATAGGGCTCACAGCTCCTGCTCTGCTTTCAAAGAGCTAGGACTACAGGCCGGTGCTGCCATGCCTGGCCTTGCCAGGTTTTTCCTACATGCTTGCTTTTTTTGTTTTGTTTTGTTTTTGTTTTTGTTTGTTTTTTTGAGACAGGGTTTCTCTGTGGCTTTGGAGGCTGTCCTGGAACTAGCTTTTGTAGACCAGGTTAGTCTTGAACTCAGAGACATGCCTGCCTCTGCCTCCCTGCCCTGCTTGCTTACTTTGTTGATGTACTTTGAGTGTCTTCCTAAGCTATCTAGATGTTTTCCCCATCTTTCATTGACTGGTCAGTGTTCGATGTTTTCTGTGGTGTCTTATACCCTAGTTGATAATCTCTTGTTTTTTTGTTTTGTTTTTTGGTTTTTGGTTTTTTCTGGGTAGTTTTGGTGCCTGTCGTGGAACTAGCTCTTGTAAACCAGGTTGGTCTCAACTCAAAGAGATCCGCTTGCCTCAATCTCTTGTTTTTTATTTGTGTTTGTTAAATGTCTTCTGGAGTTTTGTCTTACTGTGTTTTAAAGGTATTGTAGTTACTGGTAATTGTTATACTGTGGTAAGTATTTTTATTACTATTGGCTACTGTATGCATATAAATTACTGAAAATTGTAAACTGGGTGGTGGTGATGCTACCTTTTAATCCCAGCACTTGGGAGGCAGAGACATCCAGATCTCTGTTAGTTCCAGGCCAACCTAGTCTAGAGAGCGAGTTCCAGAACAGGTTCCACAGAGAAACCCTGTCTCTTACAAAAAGGAGAGACAGAGAAAGAAAAGAAAATTATAATCTTACTAATGTAAATGCAAAGATACCAGTCTTAGTTTATAGATGAGACATGTGCTTAGGGAGAATTAAAAAAGGATAAGGGTCTCAGATGAGAAGTTAGGATTTAATTCCCAACTTTCCCAACCTCTTACTGTATCAACCATAGTGTCGAAAGACAATTACAGTCCATGGGACTATGCATGTAGCTCAGTTGGTAGAGTACTCAGGTGTGGGTTCTTTGATCCCAGCTTGTCCTAAAACTGTTATCCCACTGCTGAGAAGCAGAAGCAGGAAGGTTAGAAGTTCAAGACCATTTTCAGCTGCATAGTGAGCTGGAGGCCAGCCTGGGTTAAAGGGCCTGTCTCAAAGGGAGTGGGGCTGTGTGGCGGCTCAGGTAAAAGTGGTGTCCCAGGAGTGGATCCTGTAAAATGTGTATGTTCCACCACCACCACCACCACACACACACACACACACACACACACACACACACACACACACACACACAGAGCGCTCACAGTAATACAGCCTTTTTTTTAAAAAGTACATTCTTTTTTTTCACCCTTAAGACAGGGTTTATTTGTGTAGCCCTGGCTGTCCTGGAACTAGCTCTGTAGACCAGGTTGGCCTTGAACTTGCAGAGATCCACCTGACTCTGCCTCCTGAGTGCTGGGATTAAAAAGCATGTGCTACCAATGCCCAGCTTTTTTTTTTTTTTCTTCAAAGTCTGTGAGTTGGAACATACATTGTGGTACTTTGGAAGCTTATATAAATAGCTTTTTATGTTTTGCTGGGGAGAAGGATGAGATTGCCACATGTTTTACTTCATTCAAGCCCCCGTTTTTGTCTATGATCTCTGCCTATGTAGTGAGTTCAAAGCCAGCCCAGGATACATGAGACTCTGTAAAGGCTACAAGACTTGATGGCCTGGTTGAGAATTGGACTTCCTTTCAATTACAGTTTTTGTGTGTGCGCGCATGTGTGGGAGGTACATAGGCCACATCAGTCATGCATGTGGGTCAGAGGACAACTTACAGGAGTTGCTTCTTCTACCATGTGGGTTCTGAGGATCTATCTCAGCCATAACTCCCTGTCCTGTTATTCCTTTCTTCAAGTTCCCTCCCCTCTTGAGTGTCCCGCGCTACCGTCTCGCCAGCAAGAACGACGCAGAACACTCGGATCCTTCTGCAGTAAAGCTTTAATGCATCTTGAGAGATAGATGATCAGCTTCTTAGAGGGAGACCCCAAGCTAAGAAACCCAGCCCCTTATATAAGCCTAGGAGCTCCGAGTGAGATGTGTAGAGCCGGGATTGGTGGTTTGCACATCACCCCAGATGACGTCACGGGAGAGGCACAGTTTAAACGGTTAACTCCAACTGACAGCGACAGTTAACTCTAACTGACAGCGACAGTTAACTCCAACTGACAGCGACAGTTAACTCTAACTGACAGCGACAGTTAACTCCAACTGACAGCGGATGTCAGCGCCATCTTCTAACGGCAATAGCGATAGCGAGGGCGGCTCCTCACATCTCCCCCTATTCATTTATTTTTGAAGCAATAGGACACCCACAACTGTGGAGTGGAGATAGAGGTCAAATCCCCATGTGCAAATTCGGAACATGTACAAAGCTCCTCTCCAGGGTCTTATCCCCAGAGGAAGTCCTGACCAGTCCGATGTCTTTTTCTGGGGGAAGGAGATCATGACATAGAACCTTCATGCAAGATGACTTATCTCCCAGGAGAAAGTCGTTATACCGCAGACCTCTCCTGTGCAGTGCTTAGCCTTGCAACTCCTTGGGCTGCTGAAGCCTACCCACTCTATCCCGTGCAATGAGACTAGCCTCGTGGGGTGCAAGAGCTGGGAGGCCAGCGACCTATTGCTTTAACATGGTTAACCAAATGTCAGGGGATGCTCCGTGTTCTAAGGCAGCAAGTGCTTGTGCCACCACCACTTTCTCCTTTTGTTTGGGCTCTGAGCGTACACACCATCCAAAGCATCAACACTATTCCACAGCAGAGAACTAGGCTAAATGATCCTACCCCCACCCATTCCTTAAAATAAGAAAATGCAGATGAAATCCAGGGGGAGAGGTCTTCCATCAGAGAAAGATCCAGATGCGTCGAATTCACTTGCAGGATCGCCATTCTCAACTCACGGAGTGTCTGCTCAAACTCAAAAGTCCAATTCTGTAATAAATGTTGAGACAGAGCTTTTGACAGGTTAGCTGCTCTTGTAAAATTCTCATATTGTACTAAGTGACACAAAGGCCAGGCAACTTTGTTCACATCCCAATTTGGCCATCTGCCACAATATATCCAATTGTTCCTGAACCAAATTAATCTGTTGGTTTACCAACATCAGGCCTCCTTGTATCTGAGAATTGGCAGTGGCCTGTTTATCTAGGACCATGGTCACAGTGGCCTATAGTTCATTAATGGTTTGAGTTGTCTGCACAGTGGCAGAAAGTGCAAGGGCCGAGGCGGTAACCGAAGCAGTAACCGCGGCGGTGGCTATCAGGCCCACAATAATAGCAGAGATCCCAAAATCTCGCTTTTCCCTAAACAAACTCAAATTACTTGGCGCCTCAACAGGAGCTGGAATAAATCGAGGCATGCGCATTACCAAAGCAAAAGGGTGCTTAATAGCATCCCAGCATAATGCATAAAAACAATTCTAAGCAGAACAATTTATTTCTTTCTGATTCTTACCTAAGGTATCATTACTCACAACCCAAATAAAGGGCAGCTGAATAATTAGTTCTCTTAAAAGGGGTATACTTAACATTGGAGGAGGACCAATCAGATGATCCAGAGCTCTGTCCCTCACTCAGACTGTTGCCTAATGCCCCTTTCCAATCAAAAGTA